AGAGCCAGTATGGGCTCCTACTTGAGAAAGAAGGTGGCAGGCTTTGTTTCATACCTCTGTGATCATATTGCTATATGGTAACAGTGACATCTGAGAAAAAGAGCGCAGTCTAATGACGGAAGCTTGACAGTGAATTCCTTAAAGATTAAAGATAAATGCTAGTATAACAATGAGACAAATGATATTCTAGTGAAGAAGCTTCATTGAAAAGAGAAACTTGCCTATGGTGAAAGTAGGACCAGTACCTTGGGGACTTTCTCCTGCTATCCAAAAAAGAATCTTTTGTGGTGAAGTGTCATTACTGTCTCATAGTGCTGAAGAAAAGTAAAACAGGTCAGCAGAAATGTAGAAGATAATAGAAACAAGAAACAGCCAAATAGTTTTCTAAATATCAAACAGCTGCAGAAAAAAAAATCATCTCTTCTGATGTTTTGTTCTAAATTAGTTGATGATGGGAATGCTGTGAATGTAACAAATTTCATTCTAAAGCAGGTTTTGAGGAATACCTGGGCTTTTTAGGCCATCTTGCAAACTGTATAATCTGGATATGAACTCTTGGGCAGACTGAAAACTGGCTGAAGTAAAGGAAGACTGTGAAAACACTTTGACAGGCTTTTTTACTTTAGTAAAAAGAACTACTGCTGATTTGAAAGTATTATGGTACCTTATTTCAGCTGCGGATTATGTACTAATAGTGGCCTCTTTGAGGATATTTAAAAATTCTCATTCATACATCTTATCATTTTCTCTTTCCATATAATTCCTACTGCAATCAATCACAGGCCTGCAACAGGCAGGTTTTTGTCCTGTTCCTTATTCAGTGGATCTCTGTAGGGGTTCTCCTCCATGTGTATCCATCAACTCTTGCAGGGTCAAGGTCTGGAAGTTCAGGTTGGTGCCACTTTGAAACAATGACCCTAAGTATAAAAAAGCCAGAGAATAATGACAGTTATCAGAGAGGGGTTAGAATATAAACTCTTTGGGTTGGGTTTAGTTGCCTAAATATCTGCCTAGATCCATTTAAGATGACCTTGGCTTCAGTAGAGTGCTCCAGAAGGTTGTAGGTTTCCCACAGGTCCTGTGCCGCCGTATTTTCTGGCACTGTGTGGATGTCTTGGATGCCGTAAATCATCAAAGTAGTGCTAGACATGAATGTCTAGGCAGCTGAATTGACCCCTTTAGTCTACAGGTAACCTTTTAAGACATGTGCCTTCTTTGGCACTCTCATCAATCTTTATTGCTGGTCTGCTTCATGAATGCTAGCCAGCTTTGTTGTCTCTTGAAAAGCATTTATGGAACTCCTTGAGTCTAACTTATAGTTGTAAGCACAAGAAGTAAAGATTTTGCTCTGTCTTTTTCTGCTTGCCACAGCTTGTTCCGTATTGTACCAGTATTTGCCAGGGGTATGGTTTCGCCAGCCTTTTAAGCTCTGTTCTCATTACATCTTATATAGAGTATGTTATCATAAACCTGCCTTAATAGCTAAATGGCATTTCTTGGTAAAGTTAATTTTATTTATCTAATATTACACCTTGTTAAAAAGCATTATTGCCAGATAATTGTCTGAATTTTTACCAGTAAAAGGTGTACACATCAAGTGCATATTTTTAATAGATCAATAATAGTATCAAGGAGTGTTTATTACTTGGAAGAGGTTAAACGTTGATGCCTACACATATCACTTATTTAAAGAAAAAAATTAATTCATATTCATAGATGTAATATTTTCTTAGTTGACATCATAAAAATAACCATAGTGAAAGCTATAAAAGGATTTTATCTAAGAAGACTCTTTGGGTGTATTGAATTAAACACTGAGAGACAGAACATACTTTAAGCCTCCTCCACCTTCCTTTTTTGTCTAAGATCTGCTCATTAAAAAAAAAATTGAGGATACAGCCCAGGAAAAGTGTTTATTGATGAGTAATATGTGACATTCAAGTCAGCAGTTATATTGGTAAAATATCTGTATTTTTTCTTTTCCTCTGCTTAGGAAACAGGCTGAGAAATTTACTGCAGTATTCAGAGAAAAACTCCTTATTGGGACCTGTAGGGTGGGGAGGAGAGAAAGGTGACAGGTGATATGGGATGTGCAGATGTGTACATTATTAGTTATTTTACCACCAGCAACAATGAACTGATAAAATTCATTCCAACAAACTGTTTTAAAAATATTTTAAACTTTTGTAATCTTTTAAGATGATGTATCCTTGTAGAAAAGTAATAAGCTTAATGTGACTAGGTGATTTTTGTTGCTCAGAGGTTCCCTTCATTTCTGCCCACCTCGCTAAGCTTGCTGCATTTAACCAGCCATATGCAAGATTCTGACTTTTTTTAAAGCTGTAATAGTGTGAAAGTGAATTTTAAACTCTCCTAACAGAGAACAGTAACACAGAGAAACAGGAGGCTGCTGTGCCCACTCAAAGCTAGCCAGCACATTCAAGTACTTTTCTTGCAATATTTTTTTATGAACAGACCTAGAATGATTCACGAAACAGAGTGTATTTACATTATTTTTAGCAAATGCATTTCACTGTACTGAAGAAGTAATCAGAGTTGCAATTAACAAAAAGAAAAACCTATAAAGACTGTGTTTTCAGGGATCATTGATTTGAAATAAATTAATTCCTATCCCATGGAATTTCCATTTAGTTTATATTTTTATATTATACCATTACCAAGATATTTGCATACAAATACATGGTTGTAATAGAATAATGCACAAAAGAACAATGGAAAAATATACATGTTGTTGCATGTGCTATGTATAATATAATATGGAGAGCTAGTAACGTATGTCTAGGTTAAACACATGACAAAAATTAACAAAAAATTAGCCATTAATGATAAGGAAAAGGAATTAGTTCTATAGTTAAGATCTAATATGGGCTGAGGAAAAAGATTGAGGACACCTTTCCAAATCAATGAAAGAAGGAAAATTTGAACTGAATAATATGGATGAGAGCCTTCAGATAGAAGTAGGAAAAGAGCAAAAAAAGGAAACAAAGATTGCTACACAAAACAGCAAATCTAAAGGGAGACCACAGATATCTGTAGTCTGAGTCAGATCACAGACCTGATTCGGCTGGAAATTAACTCAGAGGAAAAAATAAAGCAGGAAAACTGCAGAATTATCCTCAGCGCATATAAATTGCTGCAAAAATACTGACTTCAATGGATAGAAACTGCACAAAGCTGTTTGAGTATATGGCATGCAGGGTCTTTCTATATGGTACAGACATTTTGTCTGCCTCTGTGTTTAACAATGACTTAGCCATTTTTTTTTCCTTCCTGTCACTGTTGATGTGCTTTGCAATTTCCCATCTTTCTGCTGACCTCCACAATAGAGATGGTGTTATTTCAACTGTGGCATTTTGAGACCACTGTAGTTGAAATACTAAATAAATCTAAAAAATACATCCATTGCTTTCACTTTCTTCAGGCTACACTTTATCTTCAGCTATGCTGATACAAATCCAAAGCAAATGAAAAGATGTGTGGTCAGGTTTTGACAGAGGGTGGAAAAGTAGATGAATAGAGCCAATATAAAGGAAAGATTTGAATTCAGTAGCTAGAGGTGTGCCAATGTGAGGATATGTGAATACCAAACAACTGAAACAAAAATTAAATTATTCATAAAGCTAAAAATGGTTATACTGGAGATATTAAAAAAAAAATCTGAGAGGGAAAAAAAGATGGAAAAAGTATAATTTTAGGGTAGGCATTTTGAGAGAGTTGTTGGGTTTTTTTAATTAAGAAAATAACTGTAGGTCAATGTTTTTAGATGGATGCTGTAAATTGTTCCTGTCTTTGAAAAGGAGTTTTTTACTTTCTGAAACATGAATGATCCATAGGCACCAGATGTTAATTTTTTTATGTAAGCCAAAGATATTAGCTTTAGATTTCTTTGAGTAGTTTAGAGAGCTGCTGTCAATCTATGCATTTTAAACAACAAGACTATTATTAGTAGGTTTCAAGACATTTCAGTCACTATACGCATTATTCTTACATTACTACACCCGCTATCTCTAATCCTTTGACATGTCTGTATTTGTGGTATCTGGGATCAAGATCTCAAAACATGAATTTTTTAAACCATTAAGAAATACTTTCACTTAATTTTACTGAAGGCAGATTTATTGCTGAATGAACTGGAATTTCCACCTCTTTCCAGCTCCATAGCTGCTATGGGCATCTTCTTTCTTGAATGTCATCATAATTCTCATCTCCCCAACATGGCAAGAATTTCTTCCCCTTTCCCCTGCTCCCTTTAGGAGGATGTCTGGATTCTCTGAAATTGCAACATACATGTATGTGGAAGATCATATAATGCTGCCACTTTTTTCCCATGACCTTGTGATTCAACAGACTAGTGGGCAATGGATTAGTTATAAAAATGAGCAATCAGCAGAATGTTGCTTAAATAACTTTCTCCAAATAGGTCATTGAAAGATAATGCAGAAGTAAATATAGGCATGAAAAAAAAATAATTGCATTTTATATGTTACTTCCTGAATAACCTATTAATCAGCTCAGACCTGCAGTCAGGATTTCATTGATCAACATGTGTAGATATTTTTTAATAGCAATTTTGCTTGAAAATTTAACCCCAAATATTTTAATGTCCTCATTTACATAATTCTAAGACCTCTCAATGAAAAGTTAGTTTTTATTAGTTTATGAGGTCATTTATGCAATTTTAGTTATATGAGGGCTTTTTTGAGGAATCTTGATGTCAGACTATCGAATAGCACGTTACCGCACTTTGTCTGATTGCATGATTCTATATTCTTTCTGGATTTTATTAGCTGGTATCAAACACACTTGAAAAAAATATGAAAATAAATATGTTTTTTCTCTGAGCTTTTTAACAGAGAAAATAGTTAGAGCCAGTAGCATCTCCCCTGGATTTTAGGAGAATGGTATTACCCTGCCTTTCTCTGAGAGATTGCTGGTTACCCTCTGTCAGTGAGCAACTGTCTCACTGCAAAGCAGAAGCACGATCTCATCTCTTTTGTCTGTGTTCAAGGCAATTACTTCTTAGAAAGTGGAATTTCTTCAGAATGACTATGTACAAGAGCAAACGCAGAAACCAAAGATGTAAGTAAATTGTAAAGTTTTTTTAATGTTCTTACAGAAGAGGGAAAATAAATCTCCAGTTTCATTGAAAACCATGCTTTACTTTACCCTGCTCTGGTTGAATAATACCAGGAAAGCAGGAAGAGTATTCCCTGCCAATTATCCTAGTGTATCTGTATGTTAAGTGCATGAAAGAGCTTTAAAATAAAAAATTAGCTTACTTGTTACTATGGAAACCCTCAGTAAGTGATTGCTTTATAATATCAACAGAGAAATAGAGATCAATTATAAGTTTAGTTCCGAACAGCATCCTTTATTCAGGGCTTAATGACTGACTAGCTCTAGCCTTTGACTTGACTGGGTTGACACGCTTTCACTTGGTAGACTTTTTTATGTGGTTTGCTTTAGGGAACCAGCAATACCAGAACTTTAAAAGCAGTTATTTTATTTTCCTTCGCCACAACTTTCAGAAGAATTAACTAGTTTGCTTAAACCACAGAAACAGAAACTGGGGAGAGGGAAGGATGCATGTGTCTCTTGTGTATTTAAGACACCCCAGCTCTGAAAATTAGCTGGCTTCTAAATGCATGAGTTTCCAGTCAAGCACCTGTTTGACTTTTTAAACTGCTATGGCATCAGCCAGAGGAACTTCAGTATCAATATTGTCTCCTCCAGAACATTACGGAAGGGTGATTGAGGCAAATAAAAATGAAGTGCTGTGGGTCAGGTCACAAAGTACGTGTTACTGTAAGGAAATCTAGCAAGAGGCCAGGTTATAAATGGAGAGCATGTCTGAGGCTGAGAAAAAAGACATTCCTCTAAGAAAAATGCCATATAGGGACTGTGTGCTTTCAGAGAGGGAGCAGGAGGGAAGGAATATCAATTCAAAAGAAGATAAGTTTGGACTTTATTTGGACAGGAGCATAGTTACTGTTCAGATTTGAAGGGATATATACAGCTATATCACTGAGCCCGGCTTCTCATCCTTAGAGCTTAATCTGTGCAGGTCTCCTTCAGTTTTTCTTGCTGAAAACAAATGGATGTGCTGCATGTAGAAAGTTTGCAGGACAAATCTCTGCTAAAATCTCTGCAACAGAAATCAATCATCTGCTTCACATTCAATAAAATAAATTATCATAATTTTCATTCCCATAGCAGCAGTGAAAGAAAATTATTTATATGCAGGCAGATTACAATCTAGTTCATTTTAACATACTAATTACTCTCACTGTTATTATGTAAACCGGGAGCTCTTTCTATAGCCAGCTGCATTCTCTCCTGTCCAAGCCTGTTTATGGTGTACAATAAGAAAATTTGTGACTGGGTAGCTGAGTTGTTATGTTTTTTGTTGTATGGATATAGTCATTCATAAAAACTGCACAAGAGGCTTTTAAGAATGCTTTTATGAAAAGAATCTGCCTTCTTCCCCTTTCCCCTCTATCCCTGCTGACCCCCAGGAAAATCTGTGATTTGCCAAAAGAAAATTTAAAAAAACAAACCAAAACCAAACATAATTATAATCAAATTTGTAATTATGAGGGTGGCTGTTACATTTTTTTTAAATTGTCTCTAATTTTAAGATCCCAATCAGTAAAATATCACAATAAAACTGTCTCCACTATATTAAATACCAATACTGTAGACATGGATGCTTTATTAATACCAGTTAGCTAATTAGCAAGTGCAAAAGACTTAACAGACAAACAAAACAATTTGAGTAATTTTGATATTGCTCCTATTCATATCCCCCAATGGGTTTTTGAAAGCTAGACTTCATCTAAGCAATTGTTTCTCTGAAATACAAGGGATAATGCTAGCAGCTATGTTAAACAGTAGACAAGTACTACATTTTCTGTCCATTACATTTAAAAATATGTTCTATTTCAAACTTGAAGGCATTTTTTGTGACCCTTAATAAACAATAATAAAAGATATTTAGTATATAATTTCCAATATATGTAGGGTAAACCTTGGGTTTTATATCTCCTCACTACATCTCAATAAAACCCTTGAACATGTGGCATAAAAGAAAAGTGAGCTTTGTGGCTTTTTCTTATTCATTGAAGTTCTGCTTCTGGATTTGGTACACTCTGAACAGTATTATAAGCATTGCTTTCCTAACCCATTTTTTTCTTTAAATGTTTGAAGAAGGTTGTAAAGGTATTTTGTACTTAATTTAAAAGCATATCAGACCAGAGAGGAGGATGGAAAAAATAGAGACATGATGACCTTTTTCTAACATAAAATATAAGGAATCCCCATTTCCAATTTTTGACCCAGGTACAAAAGTGTTGCTAGAGGAGTAGGTGCAAAAAAATGGGTCTACTTACCTGTCTGTATGAATGAGAAAAAGGTTCCCTATGTATTTTTTCAGCTGTAGCATCACACATAATAAGTTCAAAACTGATCTTAATGTTTCGCTTTCATTGTACCTTTGGTTTTGATTCTATTCAAAGTGGCACTCATATTAAGTAGTTAACATTTTATTTATTCCATACATGATTGTAACTAATGAGAATTAAAACTAAATATCACAGTAAATTGTGAAACTTGCATTACTAAATAAACAAAATTCAGATGAAGGCTATTTCTGTATGAGTGTTTGTGTGTACCTATCTACATATATACACACAGTCTCCATGCGTACATTTGTCTGCACACCCAGATTTATAGCATGCTTTATCCTTCATTGAGGATGTTATCTAGCTGATAGGCTGGATTCTCATTTCTTTGCATGGACCTAATGACTGACTGAGGGGAAAACACCATAATAAATGCAATCATACAAACACTGAAGAACTAGTTAACACGTGTGGTAAAGCTTTTCTGAAATAAAAGGTTTGAATATTGGACTGACCTGCTTTGGGGCTGCAGCTGCTGAGGAGGATGGTCAGGGTAAGCCTTGCGGTAGGCTGCAGTGCACTTGTGGGTCTTCTCCATGGAGAGGCAGTCATTCACATCTTCTGGAGATGCCATGCCTCCAAGCCTCCTCTCACGAAGCAAGTAGCAGGCATCCATTTTTCAGTGGGGTCTTTCTTGTAGACTTCACTGTTACAGGAATCAAAGCAGGCTACTACCCTTGAAGACAATAACACTGGAAAAAAATTGACTTACCTATAAACCAACTTTAAGAAATTCACATTATTGCACACACATTCATGGTTAGTGCAGCTTCACAACTTAAATCAGGACCACCTTGTGGAGGGCTGTGTATGAAAAGAATGAAAAGGCAATCCTTAATGACGTTTCAGTCTAACAATGTAAATTTGACTCAGAAGAAATGCAAGAGGAGAAAGAGACAGTAATGGCCACTGTGGCAGGCAGCCATGTTTTGAGGAAGGTGTGCAGCAGCACCTGGGAGGAGATGACAGAGCAATGCCTGGAGTGCAGAGGCTGGTGTGGGACTTTCTGCTACACACCTGAACCAGGGGTTGGAAAGCTAAGGCAAAGATGGAAAAATTAAGGGGAATAATAGGACTTATCTTTCGCTTTCTTCAGCTTCATGTTTTCAGTTCTTCATGGGACTGTTTATGCATGTCGGCAATGACGATCAGAGTACAATGGCAGTTGAGGCAAAGAGCAGTTACTTTTGAATATTAGGAACCATTGATAAAGTCAACAGTTATCATAAGCACAGCTACAGATCCTGTCCCTTTCCAAAGGGTTAATTCCAAGGCATCCATCCCAAACTTGTTCATGACAATATAAAGAATGCTGTCAACATCTAATGGCCTTGAAATTGTGCTCCAAATGCATTAATGAATTCTGCCATGGCTTGGCTACCAGCTCCATGTAAAATATCTGTTTCCATTGCATATTATAGTTTGCTTAGATGTAATAGTTATTGCTCTTTTTTATGCTGACATGCTGTGAACAGTTTTGGTTTTTTTTAAACTATCATCCAGATCTTGTAAAGATTCTGCTTCTTTTAAAACCAACAGATGACTAGTTATATTTCAGGGGTTTTTTTTAAAGACTAATGAGAGGGGAGACATCATGCTTCCTTTCATTCTGGTGATTCCTCTCCCCTCATAGGAGATATGTCACAGCTTTACCTGTAGTTGTCAAATGGATTATGATTTTTTGCCCTCAGTACCCAATTTTGTTTGTCCAGTCCTAGGTTTCCCTGCATGCAGAGTGCTGTAGAAAGTAACGTGCATTTATTAAAGGGTTAAATAAGTGACAGTAAAATCACAGTAAAAAATTATTTTCAAAAGTTATGCAGGTAGCTGCTGCAATGTAGAATGCATGTGGCTGTTGCAGAAGGTCATAACATTTTTGGCTTAAACTAGTGCTGTATTTAGAGATGTGTCGTCCACAGGGATTGCCTGATGTGTGTTTGTCAAGTATCCTTGTCTTACTGGAGAAAGAATTTTGTGTATACTGATAATATCTGATGAGAAATTCTGTGAAATTCCAGTCTGAAGGAGTATTTTGATTTTGTCCTATCAGCATTCTTTGATCTATTGCGTTGCCTGCTATATTTTCTTTTATTGATAAGGTCCCACTTGCCATCTTTTCATCATGGATTTGGTGTTCACATTTTCTTTGTCCGCCTTTACAGATAGCGTAATCCCTTTCAGCCTTAAAAAATGGAGTTGACATCTGTTGAGTTTTGTTATATTACAGTTTGATCAGCCCATGATTACTTCCATCTTCTTTTGCCTCTTAGGGCAATAAAGAGCCCCCAGTACTGAAGCTGCTGTTGCTCAAAGAAAATAGCAGTCTTTAATACAGTGTGTGCTAGGAGTTAAAGTGACTGGAAAACCAAATCTCATTGGGGAAAACAAATGTAGTTACTGACCTAGATACATATAAGAAAACTCTGCCTATTTCCTTAAAACATCAGAGACCCAGACAACAAGGGAATAGCTCTTCAGCATGTTATAGAGACAGCTTTCTTCATGTAAAGCTATCCTAGAATAGCCCCAGGATATTCCTGTTGCTGCATACCTTTTGAGGAAGTAGAGTTCAGCGCAATTAAGTGTATGAGTAACAAGGCTGAGCAAGAAGGCACTCAT